GATTTTGAAGAGAGAAATTAAAAAAAAAGTTTCTGCACTCTGCAGACCTCCCAAAAACGGCCCGTTTTCCATGAAAACAGGCCCATTTTTTGTCCCAAAAAAAGGCACGCATAGCCTTTATGAGGCTTGGAGATTGTTCCTGGGGGCTGGTGAGGGGCAAAAAAGGAGCAAAAAACCAGCCCATTTTTCACACATTTTTGCCCTCCCCAGCCCCCCAGGAACACACTACAAGCCTCCTAAAGCAGTGGTTCTCAACCTGTGGGTCGTGACCCCTTTTAGAGTTGAACAACCCTTTCACAGGGGTCGCCTAAGACCATCGGAAAATATATTTTCAAAAAAATATGGAAAACATAAAATAATTTTATGTTTGGGGGTCACCACAACATGACAAAGTGTATTTAAGGGTCACGGCATTAGGAAGGTTGAGACCCACTGTCCTAAAGGCTATGCACTGCTATTTTTGCAAAGGGGGCGGGATTTCGGGAGGCCAAAAATGCTGTATTCCGTGTATAAGACGCACCCAGATTTTCACCCTTTTTTGAGGGAAAAGGTTGCGTCTTATACTCCAAAAATACAGTAATGGGGTCAGTTTCTCACTATGGTTTTTCGTCCCACAGAAAGTTTCACAGAATTAAGCAAGTCCAAGTATTCTAGGAACATTGTGAAGAAACTTCTCATGTATGGGTAAGTATTCAGTGCATCCATATACTTCGTTCCTGCATAGCCTCAGTTGACTAAAGAGCAACAGTGCTTGTTTCCTCCTGTTTTGTTTGAATTGGGAAAAAAAATGGGTTCTGAAACACTTTTCTTTAGAACAATGAGTGGAATATATAAGAATAACTATTTCTATGCCTTTGCTGTACAAAAATCTCTAAAAATTATACAAGAGAAGGGCTTTTCTAAACAGGATTATTCAAGCTTTTGAAAAAATTCATTTTAAACCATGAAACAGATGAATAACTGAGAGCGTAGAGAAGTGGGTCTCTCTCTGACCGGATCTTCATTTTTCAAAAAGATGTTAGAATCCCAAAATAGTAAAAAAAAAACTGTTATTGAAGATACAAGGAACTGAAAGTAATAAGGGAACAAAAATTATTCTGCTGACTTTTTAAAAACAGTTTTCTTCTTCTAAAAACATGGCAAAAATGCTAGCAATATGTAACTCTCTTTTGGAAATTAAAATTATTCATATTCCAAGTTTGTAATAATTGCATGAATTAGCCATACCTTTACTTTTATAACAGCAATTCCTGGGCAAAGCTTAACAAGGTTGTGCAAATCCTTGGAAGCGATGTGGAACACATGGACACATTTATAAAATAGTTCTTTTTCATTTTTAAAGTATGTCTATTTTCAAATATGCACAGCTGTTCCAAAGCTGGTTTTAGCTGTCTGCTCACATGTGTCCATGTGTAACTCCAAAATTTATGTCCTGTTGTTGTTGTTGTTGTTGCTGTTGTTGTTGAAAGTGTTAAAAGGGGCTTTGCAAAATATGTAAATGGAACCATTTTATGATTCCACCATGTTCATAAATATGCTTCAGAAAGTTGTGGAACAACTTGCCTCCAGATGTTGTGAAAGTGTTTAAGAAGATGTTGGATAACCGTTTGCCTGAAATGGTATAGGGTTTCCTGTCTAGGCAGGTGGTTGGACTAGAAGTCCTCCAGGGTCCCTTCCAACTCTGTTATTCTATTCTATCACTGTCACTTTTATGAAATTTAATTGCTCAGAAATAATTTAGTGAGGTCTTTTTTTTGTACTTTTTTTTCTAATGCCTGCTTAATGTCTGAGAAATGCTGGTTTGACTTAACTAAATATGAGATTCTTTGCTAAAATAACTCCGAATGGAATGCCATTCTTTATTGTGGATGAACGATTCACGGTGCAAAATAACTTTGACAAAACCATTTATAAGTTCCTTATAAATTCAGCTTAGTGTAAAAGGCTAATTCCAATCCTGCCTAAAATTTGGTGTACATGTCATAAAACTGACGAGGTGGCCTTTAATCCCCTCCCCAAATGCATGGGGAAAAATAGGGGGGGAAAGGGCCCAAACATGTCAGCCTCACTTCTAGATGGTAGTATATCATCACTATATATGATCCCTGTGACCCCAGGAACCAGGGTTAAGTTAGAAAAAATAATTTTCCTGACTGAAAAAGTAGCTCATTCTTGAGTTAAAATCCTTGATTTTCCTTTGTCCCTATTTTCTCTTTATCCACTGTATTTATTTTTGAAATAGAACAAAACCACAAATTGCAGAAATAATCAAAAGCTTTAAAGGTGAGGTTAAAAAGATGTTACGGCATGCCGAAGCATCCACGGTGGTGGAATATGCCTACAATGATAAAGCCATTCTTGAGCAGCGGAACATGTTGACGGAGGAGCTTTATGGTAATACATTCCAGGTCTATAAGGTGATTGTTGATACACTTTTTTCTTCAAAATCATTTTGAGCTTTCCTTTGTGTTATCTGACACCTGAAATGACTTTTGAGTTATGACGGAAAAGTAAGGGCAGGCAAGTCAAGGGGGAAAAATAGTTTGAAGACACTTCTGTATACCTACACATTGCTTCTTTGGGGCATATGTACCATTAGCTTCTCTCAAAAACCTTAAATTTTTCCTTGAGCGGAATAGCCTTGAGGCTGCAGGATTTTTTGCCTTTTTTTTTTTAAACCAGAGAAATATAAAGTGCAAGGATGCAAAAACCTGTGATCTTTCAAATATTGTTCCATTGCAATTGGCAGTTTGGTAGATTAGTCCCAGGTGTTAGGTTAGAAACGGAGACAGTGAGTTCTAGCCCCGTCTTTAGCACAAAGGCAAATACAGGTAATCCTCAACTTACGACCACAATTGGGTCCAAAATTTTTGTTGTTAAGTGAGTTTTGCCACATTTTACGATTTTTCCTGCCACGTTTGTTAAGTGAATCGATGCAGTTGTTAAATTAGTAATATGGTTGTTAAGTGAGTCTGAATTCCCCATGGACTTTGCTTGTCAAAAGGTGATCACATGATACAGGGACACTGCAACCATCATAAATGTGAGTCGGTTGCCAAGCATCCAAATCTAAATCATGTGACTGTGGGGATGCTGCAATGGTCATAAGTGTGAAAAATGGTCATAAGTCACCTTTTTCAGTGCTGTTGCAACTTTGAATGGTCACTAAATGAACTGTTGTAAGTCGAGGACTACCTATAGATGACTTTGGGCCAGTCCCTTTCCTTTAGGCTTTGGCAGTGAGGAGCCTATCCTGGAAATGTTTCTATGAAAACTCCCTGCAATTACCAGGAATCAAGACCAACTTTTAGGAACCCTAGAAACAAAAAAAACATTTGGGTAGTAAAGATTCCACATCTCTGAATTATGGAACTTTTTTTGCAGTTGTGAAAAAAATAGATATCTTTTAATATTTAATTAACCTTTATCTTCATTGAAATAAATGCATTCAAAATAGTAGTTATCCAAACAAATGCAACCAAGAATGACCATATCAGAAATGTGGAATTTAATATGTTGTTTGTTCTGAAAGTTGATTTCAACAGCTCTATGTTTTTGTGTATTTTAATCTCCTTGGTATAAAATTTTGGAACCTAACCTGTATTGGCAGAAGAAGTATTTTGTAGCGCATGGGTTATAAATTGTTACAAGCGAGCAGATGGCTAACATTCATATGTAATTCTAATTTAAAAAGATAGAAACTTGTAATTGAAGTGTCGTACTTCAAACTTTGTCTTAACTTAAAACAATAAATTCCATTACACAACAATCTGTTTTATCAGAATTCTTACATTTAAGTAAGATTGATAAATATTTTTAAATAAAAACTCCTAAACAGAAAGTACATTAACAGGAAGTTTGGAATTTTTGATAGATATATTCTATAAAAGGTGATTAACAATTAATGTGGTATTGTTGAGGTATTACATAGCATGTGCCATTATGTTTATCATATTCTTCAAGAACAATATTCATTTTTCATTACTAGTTTCTTGAGGGACACCCATGCTAATTTTTTTGAAGCAAGTGTTCTTATAGACTTTCAGGGTCATAGACTTATTGTGATATAAGGTTTATTGGATCAAGTAGGCTATGATTACATATCATATATGATCCTCAGGTTTGTTTCAGAGACTCAGTTCAGAGTGACTTTATTCTGTGGTGTCCAATTTGCGGTTAGGGTGGGCACTCCGTAGTAAATAGAAGCTTTTCCAGGAGTTCAGTTTCAAGAACCCTTGTAGTATTTTTATTTCAGATGTTATGTCTGTAGTGGTTCCTAGTTATCATCTCAATCTTAAACCTGCTTTATTTTGCCTGAGGTCCTAGACCTAGAGCAGTGATGGCTAACCTTTTTTGGATCGCGTGCCAAAAGCGGGGGGGAGCACAGGCAGATTATGCATGGGTGTGCCCATACTCATAATGCTATGCGCGTGACCCCCCCTCCCCCGCTTTTGGTGCACGATGGACCCATTTTTTGCCCTCCAGAGGCTTTCTAGGAGACTGGGGAGGGCGAAAACAGTCTTTCCCTCCCCTGGAGGTGCTCTGGAGCCTTCAGGAAGCTTCCCTGAAGCCTCCGGAGCGCGAAAAATGGCCCTATAGGCAAACTGGAAGTCACCGTTCCCGAACTTCCAGGTTGCCTGTAGGGACGTTTTTCACCCTCTGGAGCCTTCAGGAGGCTTGTGAAAGGAAGCCTCCTGAAGCCTCCGGAGGGTGAAAATTGGCCAAAAAAGAAAGCTGAAGTCTGCTGGCCAGTGTGCACTGCAGCTGACAGGGCAACACCTCGCGTGCCATAACAAATGGCTCCACGTGCCATAGGTTTGCCATCATGGACCTAGAGTCTTTGAATTAATCCAGCAAAGTCAGAGTGCCAGAATAAGCCATAGTTGACTACAAGTGAGAATTTTGGATAAGTTATGTTAAAACCTTTTGTTTTCTTTGTCATTTGGTTCTATACTTTTTTCTGTCTTGTTTCAGACAGCAGATCAATCAACCTTGGGTAAAGTGCTAGAGATTCAGCCCGAAAAGCGAGAAGCCATTATGGATGAGATAAAACAGATCCTTACCCCAATGGCTCAAAAGTAAGAAGAAATGTCAGACTGCTTGGATGCTTGACTTGAAATTCTGTTTTAAGGGATTTTCCTTAAATCCATTTTGAGATCTGTACTAATAACACCAGGGTGTTTTCATTATGGTGTAGAGATCTAATGATAACCTGTTAACTTTATGGCATTGTCTCCTATCCCTAGAAACCCCAAATTCTTACACCTACTCTTTCTTTCTCCCACCACCCCTTGCCCTCCCCCCCCAATAAATGGATAGACAATTTTTGTTTCCAGCTTGGTTAGATCCCGCTGAAGCTTTGTCCTCTGAAACTACTGTCTTGATCCAGCCGCAAATTAAAATTTGTGGCAAATGGCATTCTGTGTATTATTGCAAATATTTCACAACAGGTAAATACAGAGTTCTTTTTTTATTGTCTTCCTTTCCTCTTTACAGAGAAGCTGTAATAAAGCATTCATTGGTACATAAAGTTTTTTTGGACTTTTTTACTTACGCTGTCCCTAAACAGAGATCTGTAAGTATTTATTTATTCATTAAACTATGTTTACTTCATTACATTCATTACTTACGTTTTTAATCTGTTTTTATGTTAAATAGAGTTAAATGTCATGCCAGATACTTAGTGCTGGTTTGTTTCTGTTTGGGCTTTCCAATAATAGCAGCAACAATGAAATAATCCAGCCCAGCCGTGGATATTCTGGTTTGACTATGCAGCTTTGCTTGCTGAGTCAGATCTGGCAGCCTCACTGCCCCTCAGAGTGTTCCTTTGAACTTTTTTCAGTGCGATGTATATCTTGTTCTTCTTTCTGGCACAGCTAGTCGCTTACAATTGAAATGTAAGCCGGTCACCTTACATTAAATTGCATGAAGGGTTTTCTTTCCTTGTCATATTTGCAAATAAATGAAATTCTTTATTCATGCATGTTTTTGTTAATACAACTTGGTTGTTATGTGCTAAAATGTGATGCAGACCTAGAAGCCTGAAATAATTTTTAAGTTACGAGTTAAAAGATTCCACACCAAATTAAACTTTTCTTTTAGAAAGCAGACATTGATTCAAAGTTAGGAACAGGATTATTATTTAAGGGGTATAGAGGAAACAATACAGATTGCCTAATATGTAAACCAATTGCCAGTGTTGTTGTGAGAAAAAGCATTGAAGATTAAGTAAGTTTTATTTACTGGAGACAATGGTGAGTTCTTAAAACTGTTCCCTAAAACTGTGTTCTCTGTCTCTAGGAAATGATTGAAGCAATTAGAGAAGCTGTCATTTACTTGGCACACACCCACGATGGGGCCAGAGTAGCCATGCATTGCTTGTGGCATGGGACTCCCAAGGTATTGTGTGTGAAGGAGCTTATTTGTGTCAGAAGTCTTGCACTATGGATTGATGTGTACTGGTTGTCTCAGATGCAGCAATCAAAAACACAGTGTATTTTGACAACTGTTTCAAATAGAGAAACATCCATGCATTTTATTGGGATTAGTTTTTGAGAAGCTCCAATAAGGATAAGTTGAGTGGTTAGTTTAGGGGTGGGATACATTCTATTACCAACTTCAACTTATCCAAAGATATATGATTATATATTTTGTTTAATGCAGGGTTTCCCAACTTTGACGACTTTTAAGACTGGTAGATTTCAATTCCCAGAATTCCCTGGCCAGCCATGGCTAGCTGGGGAATTCTGGGAGTTGAAGTCTAAATGTCTTAGACTTGTTAAGGTTAGGAAACCCTGGTTTAATGAAAGTAAGTTTGCTTTAATGTTTCTTTAATATGCTAACATAAAGAAAACCATTAAACATATTAAGAAAAAGTAGAAAAAAAACAAGCAGAAATTAAGAAAGAAAAATGCACTAATTGAACAGTTCTGGACAGTTTGAAGGAAAGAGTAATTTAATTCCTTACTGTCTTAAGCTAAGCTTGCATAACTGATATACAGACAGACATAAAGAGTGGTATGTGGAGCATTATATGTATTTCACTTCATATAGTGATTTGAGGGTTGAAAGAAGCAGAGATTAGCTGCTTATTTCACAGTACAAAGATGGTTTTCAACTGCTCTTGTGGATGTCTTTCTATCCCTAATCCAGATGTGGATCCCTAAACATTGCATTTGATTTATTATGAGAATACTTTTTTTAAAAGTCAGCAGCCTGATTTCATAGCATGTTATATTACATGTATTTTAAAGTGTGAAGCTTCTCCCTATTCTTTCACACTATTTAGGACAGAAAAGTGATTATGAAAACAATGAAGACGTATGTTGAAAAAATAGCTACAGTGAGTATTTTTAATGTGTCCTATTGTAATCACATACAAGGCAATCCTAATACATGCTTACTTAGAAGTTAACCGTATTTTACTTAGTAGTGTTTCCTTCATTGTAAGTTTAGGGTTTCAACCTCACGATCTCATTTCTGGAATACTGCTTTATCCCAATATGAATTCAGAAGAAATTAATAGTGGCAATTATGTTTGTAATTGAGTTACATATATGTAAATATCATTAATACACATGTTTAAAGAAGTACTTTAAGGAATGTTGATAAACCTGAAAGAAATTCCGTGGCAAAGAATCTATAGAATCTGTACAGTTATGATACATATTAATATTTTTTTTAAAAAAATAGAATCCAGATAGATAATCATTAGTAAATTTACTGAGGAATAACTCTCACAGAGTTCACTGCCTAATTTTAAATAAGTTGGCATTGGAATTTAGCTTTATATAAGACATTTGAGAAGTTTGATATTTTGATGGGTTGGATTATTGTTGTTTTTGGATTTGAAGAAGAATCTTGTTTAAATATTTTAGCAAAAAAAAGTGTTAAAATCAGAAATAAGGTGAATAATCACTTTGGATAATTAGGAGCTAGCGTTCAAGAATTATTTTGGCTTATACTTGTAATTTTTCTCTTCCTATTTCAGGGTGAATTTTCACATTTGGTTTTGCTGGCAGCATTTGACTGTATTGATGATACCAAACTTGTGAAACAATTGATAATATCTGTAAGTAAATATGATTTCCAATCTACATTTTTAATCATTCACCTAGCAGAATAATATAAGTAATGTAGGAAATTCCACTGGTTTTATACAAAGATTATACATTGTAGGAAGTCCTCAATTTAAAACCACAATTGAATCCAAAATTTATGTTGTTAGTGAGACATTTGCTGAGTGAGTTTTGGCTCATTTTACTACCTTTCTTGCCACAGTTGTTAAGTGAATCACTACAGATGGTAAGTTAGTAACCTCGTTGTTGAGTGAATCCGGTTTCCCCACTGACCTTGCTTGTCAAAATGTTGCAGAAGGTGATTATGTGACCCTGGGACACTGCAGCCGTCATAAATATGAACCAGTTTCCAAGCACCTGAATTTTGATCACATGATCATGGGGATGCTGGAAAGGTCATAACTGAAAAAATAGTCCTCAGTCACGTTTTTCAGTGCTGTTGTAACTTTGAATGGTCACTAAATGAACTGTTGTAATTCAAGGACTACCTGCATCCATTTTGTTGTTTAAAATGAAAATGAATTGTCCAAATTATTGTTGGGGCAGTTGGCTTCTTGCCCACTTTGGTGAAGGAGTACTTTTTTTTTCATTTATCCATTACTCTTTCTTTTGTGATAGAAATTTTTAAACTGTATATCGGTGTACCAGTGAAGGATTATGCATTGGATTAAAACATTGGAGCTGTATAAAATGCATATATATCTTGAGATAAAAAGAGATGACTGAAGGCAAACAGAGAATATGAGGCAAATGCTTAGGATTTTCTCTCCATAAACCGGGCTTTCCAAGCTTGACAATTTTAAGAATTGTGGACTTCAGCTGCTAGAATTCCCCAGGCAGCATGGCTGGGTAGGGAATTCTGGGAATTCAAATCCACAAGTCTTAAAATTGCCAAGATTAGACACCCCTGGCATAGACCATTTTCCATCTTCCTTCCCCCATATCCACATCCAGGACCAAGATAAAGCTAGCAACTTGAGTGATCAAATGACCAAGTAGGAACCGTGCTGAGGGAAGGGAATCCTTGGCAGGTCTGCCATATTCCTCTTTTGCCTTCACGGAGGTTTCATGCAAGGATCCTTTCGTGTAGTGGACTTCTCTGTGCGGTGATAGAATGCAATGGATGAATCGCTAGCAATTTGTTCTATTCCCCCGCCACCCCTGTGATGGTTTATTTATTACTGTCAGCCCAACAAGGTAGAGTAGACTCCGAAAGCCTTACCATTTAGGTCAGGACTCCTTTTATTATAATAACTGTAGTAACAGAATCTTGCAAATCTGAATGTGCTTCTCCTTTTATGGTCATATTGTTTGAGACATTTACTCAAACTGATTTCTTGGCCCAGGCTCAAGCCCCTCTTATCTGACTGCAGCTTTGGCTGCAATTCTTCCTTCTGTCCTTCAAGGCCATTCTTTATGCCCTCTATAATTAGTTGTTTGTCTCCTCCTGCAGCTAAAAATTTCTACCTTAGCACAGTATTAATGTAAAAATCAAAAGGTTATCTTAGCAGATACACTGTAGGATAGCAAGAGGAGGGAGAGGGAGACGGAGAGGGAGGGAGAGAGAGCTCAGGTGTGTGACTAATAATTCATTTACAAGGACCATCTTAGTCAAAGTGGCAATAATTTTTGATGTTTTAGAAGTTTTTTAGAACAGCTCAGAGACACCATGTTATAGCTTTCTTTTTATAGCCCTGTTGCTATGCATGTCTTGAATATGTATGAGTTTGAAATGATGCTTAAATTCCTTTCTCTGTCTGTTTATTGAACTCCACTTAGTGATTATCGTATTTGAGCTTTTTAGCCAAAAGTGATATAGACACTATTGACTTGAGTTCAGCTTCTGGTGACATAACTGTATTGTTTTCTTGGCTACAGTACAAGTATTGTCTCAGGATGATTGTTGATTTCTTAGTCTATAGCCGTGATGGCGAACCTGTGGCACGCAGAGCCCTCTGCGGGCATGCAAGCCATTGTCCCAACTCAGCTTCACTGCCTCCTGCCGGCTAGCTGATTTTCATGCCAGGGGACATGCAGGAGACGTGTGCATGCATGGGGGGCGGGAGGGCTCACATGTGCATGTGTGGGGGCGGGAGGCGCGCACAGGGGTGTGTGGTGCGCCCCCCTCCTATGGCCCGTTTTTGGTCCCAGGAGGCCTATTAAGCCCAAAACAGGGCGTTGGGGTTTTCGCATGCTCATGCGCAAGGGATGGAGGTCACATGCACATCCACAGGGGGGTGGAATACAGGGGTTGTCATGCACACATTGCATTATGGGGCGGGTGCACTGTCGCATGCCATGCACTTTTTGAATGCGGTCTCTCATCCAAATATTAACCAAATCTGGTCCTACTTAGTTTCTGACTTTAGCAAAGTAACCTAGATGTTACCAAGCTAAAATTGAAACAGATGCTGCCTGATTTCAATGGTGAAACTGGTGAGTTTGAATTTTCCACTGATAGAAAAAGCTGTGTGATGACAGGTTTTTGAGGCACCTATCTGTTCTAATGTAATTAAGGGATAGCCGATATAAAGATTAGACTGGGTAAACTGAAGAAAGAGAACCATGATTGAAGTCTTATAGTCATTACCTTCAGTTGACTAACATTACATGTTCTTTGTCTCAAACAGTTGTATAATAGAGTCCAAACGTTTTAGCAACATGTTTGGCATTCCCCAAAGACTTTTTAGTGGTTATTATCATTATATCCTAAAGCAATTACCTTAAGCCTGAAACTTAAGCTCGTTTTGTTTTAGTTTCCCTATGCTTTGTTGTCTGATTTGCTACAGCTGAGTGAAGGGATCATTCCTTTATGTCGTGATTCTAATTTTACTCGTCCTGCTTTGGGATTTTGGGACTTTCTTCATTAACAAAGATGCATGTCACAATAATGGCTCCGCAGATTGGTGTTTGTGCTTATAATAGTAACTTCTGTTTGAAAGGCAGTCTCATAATTTATCTCATTTGGGAAGCCACCTTCCTCCAAACTTTTTCAGATTTTTGTTTAATTCGGTCTTGTCCTGTATGTGGTGAGAGTTTGATATCTATCAAATCGCTCAGAACAGGAAGCCAGGACTATTCTATTAGTTGAAGAATTTATATATCCTCGTATCTTCTCCATTTTTTGATGGGATGGCAGTAAAAGCAAGAGAAGAATCTTCAGAGTTCTCATTTAGTGAAGGACACTCTCGAGACAAAAGGCTTATCAAGTGATGTATTTGAGTATATAGACTTCTCTGCTCATTCATGAATAAAGAATGAATGGAGTAAGCCTACATACTCCTAAGATAAAAGATTATGATGGCTAAAATTTGTTGTGTTTGTAAAAGAGCAGTAGGCAAATATATTTAAGGGACTATGAACAATACTACATTTATCTTTTTTTTAAAACCCTCTTTTTCTCTAAATAATTTGTCTTCAAAATAGGAAGTCATATAGTAATGGGGGTAAATGGTGCTTTTTTTCTGCTTAACTTTTATTTTTCAGAAATAGGTACAGTATTTGGCATGCTCTAGTACAGTGTTTCTCAACCTTGGCTACTTGAAGATGTCTGGACTTCAACTCCATTGAAGTTTCGCTGGCATTTGCCAAGCATTCGCTGGCTGGGGAATTCTGGGAGTTGAAGTCCAGACATCTTCAAGTGGCCAAGGTTGAGAAACACTGCTCTAGTATGTGAACATTGTGGGAAATTACTGAAAACCGGATTTAATGGACCATAAGGTTGTCACATTCATAGAAATAGGCTTATCTTAGTCAACTTGTCTTAAACTTATCATAGTCACTATGTTATGTTCTCTTAGAGAGCCAGTTTGGTCTAATGGTTAAGGCACAAGGCTAGAAGCCAGGAGACTGTCAGTTCTAGTCCTGCCTCAGGCACGAATGCAAACTGGGTGATTTTGGGCTGATCACCAGGAGACAGAGAATTCTAGTTCTGCCTCAGGCATGAAAACAGATGGATGACTTTGAGCCAGTCACTCACTCTCTCAGCCCACAACATCAGGCTTAGGTGACAAGCCAGTTGATCAATTCCTATCACAGCCAATGGATCAACACTTGGTTGACTCCCCCCAAAAACCCAGTCTCTACACTTGCAGAAAAACCACTAGGAAGGGGAGAAAAAAGGCATCACCCACAATATATTTTCTTGCCAGAACTATGAGAAAAAAGCTGTCATTTTGAATGAAAAATGAAACTAAACTTGACTGTTAGATAAACTGCCCTCTGTTTTCATGTCTCTCCTTTAACCATGTTGAAATGCTTTTAGTAATACTATCTGCATAAGTTTGAAGTATCTGCTTTAAACTTAAAATTACAGCCAGGTGGATTGATCAATATGGTTACCCAAAGGGGATGAAAAAATGGAGGAATTATCAGTTCGTAATATTTTGCAATCATGCCATAGGGAAAACGTCTTAAGTTTGGTTTTGCACTTCTGATGGATTCATTTTTTTCTGATGAGCCAGGCTTGTGAACAGCAAAATAAAACAACGTTGCCCTTTGATATTTATCTACAAGCTTTATACTACTTATATCTTCAGGGTTGCTAAAGATGGCTTTTGAAATGGAAAAAAAAGGTGGTGTGGTGGTGGGGAGGGAATGCTTAGCAGTCTAAGCAAAAGAAAATGCAAGGAATGGCGAGGATGTTATTCCCATCTACACTTATGGCTTGTTCTTGTTCATGATTTGGAGCATTAGCATATTGTCTTATTTAGTCATAGGTAAGATTTGAATAAGGATAAAAAAACTGGCTTCCTTCAAAAAAAACAAGAACAAGCTGAAATGGGTGGAAAAAACTGTTGCTAACAGAATTTTTTGTCTTTCCCCCAACACTTAGGAATTGAATAGTAATTTAGCCGCTGTTATAAACAACAAATATGGAAGGAAAGTCCTGCTATATTTATTGAGTCCACGGGATCCAACATATTTTTCCCCAGCAATAATCAAAATCCTGCAACAGGGTGATGAAAATTCTCACAGGTACTTGGGTACAATTTCTTGAGATTTCTGCATCTTCTCCTCTCTGGTTGTGTCTGAATGGTGCTGTTTTTCACTCTTCCAAATCCCAGTGGATTGAACTATGGCTATACAGTTGCCTAAGAATGCTGTGCCAAGTAGAATTTGATCTATATTTTATTGTACATAAATGACCTTAAAAGGTGGCGTAGCTTTTCAAAGTGTAGGATAACATTTTGGTGGGAAATAGTGGATTTCATATTGGGTAATTTTCTATGAATTTCAATCACATTTGCTTGTAGTGGATTTGGTAAAATAATAGTTTATTGCCATGTGAGTCAAGTGACAAGTAAGAACAGCAGGTGTTTATTTCAACACTGGCAGAATAATGCATGTTATGCTTTACCTACAGCTGGTTATGATACAGACTAGATTCGTTTCTCGGTATTCATTTCAATACTCTTATATTTTATCTGTTCTTATCTGGTTAACTGTATCTTGCCTTCCTATATCACTTATTTTTTGGACAAATCTTCCAAGGATACAGAATCTGACCTATTCAAGGCTAAGTGATGCTATTGAATCCGGAGAAGATTCTGCAAAATTTGTGGATGGATGTCAGCCTTTAGCAATGTGCCAGGGTTGGAGACCTTAGTGAAAGAATACTTTCAGAAAAACAAATGCATTTTTCTCAAGGTCCTTTCACTAATATATACTCCACAAGGGGGAAAATCCAAGCTTAGAAATTGCTTCAACGTTCATGGAAGGAGGATTAATAAATTACCTGGGCAGCGCCGGGTTATCAGCTAGTAGAAGATAAAACCCAGAGATAGGCATGCTCAGTTTCATTTAGTTTCTATGTTTAGATATGATCAGCAACAGGGGAGCCAGAGGTTTATTTTACATTGTTGTGAAGACACCAAGCGTCTAGCAATGGGCTGATATCAATAATGCAGGGTTGAAATGAGGAGTCCTTGGTGCTCTCTAAGCTTGGTTGTTTTCTTGTGAACGTTTCAGTACCAAACTATGCAACTTCATCAGTGCTAGTAGAGACTGAGGTTTGCTCTCATTTGATATTCTAGTGACTTGTCCTCTCATTGTAGGTGGGAGTAGTAGTCTTGGTGGTTCCTTGGCAATGAAACATCTGCAAGAAAACAGCCAAGCTCAGAGAGCGCCAGGGACCCCGATATCAATAGTTTATTGAAGTGGCATATGGTTTCTGAAAAAGTGGCAAGAAAAAAGATCTGGAGGCATTCTGGACAATATTTTTTTTTAAAAAGTTTTATTAATGTCCTCCATTTCCTGGTATTTTATTGTTATTTGTTTATTATTCATGTGTTCATGGGGAAGGTTCCTATTAATTGCAATAAAAATTGTAAAAATTAAATCAGGTTTCAGGCAATTTTTCCTAGATCTTCTTTGAGACAGGATATTTTATTTGAAACATCCCACAAAACTCTGAAAGTATGAACAAATGAATGTTTGGGCCATAGATCAAAATACTACAGGCAGAAGCGAACTGTCACCTTCATTCCTAACATAAATATACTCACTGCCGACAGACAGCTTTGATTGATATCACCCCACGGGTAATTAAATGGCACCTCAAAATACATCACCTGCTGATTGTATAAAAATAGTGCCGCTCTGCAGGCCACAGGCATGGCAGCCACGAGAGTCACGCCATCGCCTGTCTCTCTTGATGTTCTTTCCAGTGACATTAATTGCAGCAGCCACGCAAATCACTTTCTTGACCGATCTTGGTCTTTAAAAATTAAAAACAGCCAAGGAAATGGAGCCTGAACTGAGGATTGCGATTGCAACCGTGTGGCTGTTAACGAGACTTGCCTCTGGCCTGAAGCTGAATTCTCCATTCCAGCATTTTCTCATGAAAATATGCTTCATAAACACTTTGCTCCTTCATAAATGCTTTACCGGTTTAGATAGAAACAACTTTTTTGCAAAGATCCAGTGCAAAGAGTGCATGATCAGAGGTGATCTCTAGGGCAAGGGTCCCCAATCCCCTGTCCGTGGACCAGCACCGTTCCGTGGCATGCCAGCAAACAGGCAGCATGCAAAACTATGCTCCCTCCGGTCCACAGAAAAACCTTACTCCATGGAACCAGTTTCTGGTGCCCAAAAGCTTGGGGACCACTGCTGTAGGGACGTAAATCAAAACTTTTGATCTGTTGTTGGAGATTGTTCTGGGAAAAATATGAAAATAGTGTAATGCAGAATTTGGATTTTTTTAAAAAAATTTGCATCAGAATTTTGTACAATTCTCACTTTTCTTTGTCAAGCAAACATTCTTATTCTGTCTGTCTTTATTCCACCAGTAAAAAGGATGCAGATGTTCGCCATGGTGAGCTTCTGGAAGCCATTTCCACTCCTTTATTACAGCACCTCAATGCACATGCTGAAGAAATGGTGATGGACAAAGCTGCGTTCATTGTAGTGACAGGCATCCTCAAGGCTGCTGTCGGCGATGTCCAGCCAGCGATGAAAGCCATCGCTGGTCTTGCTGCAAGAAAGATGATTCCGGGGGGAGAAGATGGACAGGTAAGCTAGACACAAAGCAAACAGTAATAAGCACCCCCGAATTAGCAGATTTCTCTTTCATTGTTGTTCACTCATCTCTCTGAGGTGATAGTGATTGTGTAGGGTAAGAGTGTCCAACTTTGGCAATTTGAAGACTTGCATAGATTTCCATTACCAACATATATTTTGGAGGTATGTGCGTGCGTGCCTGCCTGCCTGCCTGCCTGCCTGCCTGCCTGCCTGCCTGCCTGTCTATCTATCTATCTATCTATCTATCTATCTATCTATCTATCTATCTATCTATCTATCTATCTATCTATCTATCTATCTATCTATCTATCTATCTATCTAGTGTTTTTTGTTTTTTGTCCTATGGAACGATCTCCCCGTGGAGATCCGGACCCTTACTATTCTTCCGGCATTCCGCAAAGCGATTAAGACCTGGCTGTTCCAGCAGGCCTGGGGCTGTTGATTTTTCCAACCCCATTCTAAGTTATATGAATGTTGTGTAATTTTAATGTTTGTTCTTTTTAATTTTTATATATTCCCCCTCCCTGTTTATCTGTAAGCCGCCCTGAATATCTCGAGAGTGGGCGGCATACAAATCCTAATAAACAGTAAACAGTTTTGTCAAATTACCTGGTATGGGCAAATATGGGAGGGAGTATAGAGCATATTCAAAAAAGTATTTGAGACTGAAGCTGATTGACCCCCCCCCCCCCAAAAAAAAAGAAGTACATTTCTAATCTGAGTGACCATCAAGTTTTCTGGTTGTTTAAAATTTAGACTGTTTTGCTATTTCTCCACCAATTACTTAATTATACGAAGAGTAGATGTATGGGGCACTTCTTACATGCTATATGACTTGATCCTGCTTTTAAAAAGCTGCACATGTGAGGATAATGAAGAGCGAGGCCAGTGAGATCTTGACGTGTTTATGCTTTCTTTTGAAGCTTCACATTGCTGAACATCCAGCCGGTCATTTGGTGCTTAAGTGGCTAATAGAACAAGATGAGAAGATGAGTCAGTCTGGCAGAGAAGGTATGTTGGCATCTGTACATCGGGGGTAAAATTAATCACTAGACCTTTAATTGGTGGAGGGTTGGGCAAGATAGCGAGGTCCTGGTTTCCATTTTGTGTGCCTTAATTAAAATAACTTCTCTGAGTGATGTGGTTCCAAGGACACAGAGAATTGCTCATAGTAAGAATGGAAAAGCATTTCTAAAAAAGGGGGGCATGCTCTTACAAAGCAATTCAAGGGATAAGTTTCCCTTTCCTTGAATTCAACTATGTGTATGTGTGAATAACACAGCAAATTAGATTGAAAGGGCATGTGCTCTGAATGCTACAAATCAGCATTGTGCGTAATCTAATCAGTATCTCTTTGAAGTGACTGCAGATATGTTGATTAGTATTAATTAATAACCGACCTGAGATGGTAAATGTATAAACCCTGCTTTGAATTTTCCCAAACAGGATGTTTTGCAAGAATCCTGATAGACCATGTGGGAATTGATCTTCTAAAGACCTGGGTGGATGTGAATCGTGGTGCAATTGTTCTGTGCCGGTATGTAGGAGGTTTCTACATTTGTTTTAGGCAATGACATTATTTAATATTAATATTTTTAAATCATTGTTTTTTAAGAAGTGCCTGTAACCATTCCTGCCAGTAAGTACACTGCAGCTGGATTAACTTGCTGAATCACCTTCAAAATTTCATTATTTTGCTTTCAGCTTCATTGTTATTATTATTTTTAAAATACAAGGGAAGTAAGCTGAAGCTTTGCTACATTTTTTATAAAATGCCCAACCACTGTTGATTGTCTTGTCCCATTGGACTGTCTTTCTTTGAAGGTAATAATTTGGCTGTCCTGGAGTTTATGATGTCTAGAAGCTCTGCTATCACAGACATACTATCTTCTTTCTTTATAATGTGGTAATTCAACTTATTCCAATGAGGCAACCTACAAAGATTGCTTGCTCAGTAATGTGAATAATACAAATATTATTGGGTCTCTCATATATAGTACGCATTGCAAATGAGCTTGAAGTTTGTGCTCTTATACCAAGCAGTTTTCTTGCAATTATTGACATAACCTCAAGCAAACAAACTCAGAACACAACAGCTCTGTTTTGGAATAAATCAATATGACATTAAACAAACTATTTGCAGCATCTTCATTTATAGAACTATTTAAAATGTATTGATGGGGTATGAAACTAAAATATCTTTTAACTTGTATTTATTTATCGTAACTTCCTGCTTTTGTAGATTAACTACTGTTCTCTATTTGAATCAACTGACAATATTTCCAAGTTAAGTTTTAACTTCTGTCTTGTAAGTTTTCTCAGGAATTAGAAATGATGAGATCACTATGGCAACATGCTCCACTAAATTAAAACTGATGGATCTGTTCAAACAGTCACTAGAAATAGATCAATTGAATCCACTGAATTGTATATACAATATATCCTGATATCAAATTAGGTTCATTAGTATTTTCCTGATGCCTTTTGACAAAGAATAAATGTCCCTTTGGGAGTAGAGGTGCATTTAGTGAAAGCAAATTGGGAACAGAAAATGATAGGTTGCAGGACAGCTGAACCTCAAAGCCTAAACATAAAAGGAACAATTCTGTTTATCAGTTTGCTGAGGAAGTGCTAATCTTCCCTCTCCAGCAAACCTGATCAAGGTCACTGCAGGAGAGAAAATGAGAAAGACTTATAATTATGTTCCAGGATTCCAATCAAGCCTACTGAAATAATGATCTGTATGAGTGGAAAATAAAAGGTAAAGATACCCTCAAGCTTAATTCCTAGTGAGCAGGAGTTTCTTCATTGTATTACAGAAGTATTTGCCAGTGGTGGGATTCAAATTTTTTTACGAGTGGTTTTGTGGGTGTGACGTGGCTTGGTGGGCGTGGTAGAGGAAGGATACTGCAAAATCCTCATTTCCTCCCCATCCCACTAACCTGCTTTCCAGCTCCGTTCTCTTATGCAGGGCAACAGAAGAAGACCCAGCCGATCAGCTGGGACTT